TATGCCACACACAACCATTGAATGTGCAGTATGTCTTAAGAGATATAGTTTGTCTTATTTTTGTTGCCACTTCAAGGTTTTGTTTTTGTGATACTTTGCAGTTGTTGAGACAGCAGTCAGTTTAGATGTGTAGTTTCTGTGTATATTACTGTAAAGTTTTTTACTAGGTTTGTTTGGTAACGTTGAGTCACCCCCTTAGGTTCTGTATTGTGTCCGTTTGATTTATGTTTACTTATCATTTACATTCCTGGTATTAAAATACTTGCTTTCCCGTTTAACATATGGGTTTTTTGTTACCTCCCTTACCCTAGCAGAGCTGGGTTGTAACAAAGTGAAATCAAGATATTTGAAGTGAAACACAAACAATACAACAACTTAATTGTAATAAAAGGTTAAAAGTTTATTAATGAATACAGAACATTGCGCCACAAAGTCAATGTGATCGGTGCCCTAAATGCCCTGTTTTATATGTGACAGTATTTACTACTATTAGACTGTGTAATCCTACAATGAGTGTTAGTTCACTATGTTTTATATCTGATAAAACTGTTAGATTGTAAACACTACAAAGCCAATATTAAGACAGTCTTATCTTGTATTATATTAGTCTTTATATCTGTGTGATAATGGTCCTGACCTCTGTGACTCAGGAAACATTTGTAAACATGCTTTGGCACATGTGCTTCTCCACGCCTAATCTTTGAGGAGTATAAATCACTTAATGCACGATACGGTCTGGTTTATAATGTGGCATGTGGTAAAACATTAACATACGCATATTAGCACATGATTGATCAAAGTAAAGTTTTTTAAAATTAAATGTTGTATTGTTCCAATTACAAAAACATAATTGTTCATATCAAATATAATAGTAGTAGTAGTAGTAGTGGGCCTACTTGTGCCACTGGCACAATGTTTATATTCAGAATCAGAATCAGAATCATTTTTATTGCCACGTAAGTAACAGGAGGTCACAGACATGGAAATTGCTTTGGCTCAGTGCAACAGTCAGAAAGAGATAATAAAAATAAGAATAAAAAACACTTCTAAAGAATACATTTACATTTAAAATAGAGTTACAGTTACTATTTACAATATACAAGTGCACATGGTGCACACAATGTAAGGTGACAGCAGTACAGTGAAGTAAAGTGACGTATGATGGGCAGTAAAGTGACTTTATAAAGGGCGGGCGGACAGGTTAAGAAGTGTTCAAGAGTCCAACAGCAGAGGGGAAGAAACTGTTCTTGTGGCGGGAGGTTCTAGTCCTGATGGACCGCAGCCTCCTGCCTGAGGGGAGTGGTTGGAATAGTCCATGTGCAGGGTGAGAGGGGTCATTCACCGATGAGAACAACTCAACGGATGAAAACTGCGGCAAATTCTGTGGTGTAAAATTTAAAAACAAACGAGGCAAAGCTGTGCATGAGGCCCGCTTCTGCAAGAAAAAGGCTACGGAAGGAACCACTAAGGGAACCACAAAAGGAACCACCGAAGGAACCACAAAAGGTGCTCCAGAGGATGCAGCTGGAAAAGCGGATGGATACATAACATTTGTGATTCCTGCTAAAAAATCTTTTCTACATGACACGGACTAGAACTACATCAAACTAGGTGGTGTAAGAAGAAAGTGGAAGCACAAACAAGGAAAGAACATGACCCACTCTTCCAGTGTGGCCAGTGCCAGAGATCATTTGATACTGATCTCGGCCTAAAAACTCACAAATCAAGATGGTGCACTGCTGGAAGGGTCGAAAGAAGCAATCGCAACCAAAGAGGGAGCAGGAAAAACACACATAGTGTTCCATTACTGTGGGACACAGAGAGTGCAGAAACAATAAAACACTACGGCATTGTGGAAGAATTCAAATATTTGGGTCAAATTATAAAGGACGATGGTGACCACCAAAGAGAAATAAAGCAGAAGATTGCAGACTCCGGTAGAAGAGCAGCAGAACTAACAATGATCTGGAGCTCTGCAGAATACAAACTAGAAACAAAAGTGCACTGTACAAGTCCTTGGTGCTCAGCGTCCTGCTGTATGGATCAGAGACATGGGTCATCAAGAAGGACAGGAAGTTGAGGCTGGAGGAATTTCAAAACCGAATACTGAAACGGATTGGTATCCACACCAGCGCTCACATTACATTTGAAGAGCTGAGACTAAAAGGCAAATGCTACAAAATTCTGAGTACTATTGCAAAAAGAAGAATGAAATTCTGGAAAAGAATCAGGTCAATGGAAGACTCAAGAATAAAAAAAAACATTCTTGACTGGAAACCAAAAGGGAAAACTCCCGTGGCAGATACCTGGGTCTCATGCTCACAGCGAGCAGCTCCAGGTCCTGTGTGCATGTGCGCTGGACCACATGCACGTGCGTCGGGATGCACCACCACTGCTCGTTCACGTAGACCGTGACACCCCCGCCTTTGCTCTTCCCACTATTAACGTGAACCTGGCCCCCCATCTTACTCAAAATTTTATAAAAAATATGTCAATCGTTTGTGCTACGTTTGTGCTGTTTTGTGCTGTAAAAAAATTGTTTGTGCTGTTATCGTTTTTGAGATATTGAGGATTCTTTTATAGGTCAATCTGAGGTCACCCAGCCCCTCATTTTGCTAAAAAATGCTCCAAAATGGACGAAAATAGTGTCATTCGTTTGTGCTACGTTTGTGCTGGTTTGTGCTGTAAAAATTTACATTTGTGCTGTTATCGTTTTTAAGATATTAATAATTGCATTATTAGACGATTACGTCATCATACTCTTTCGAAAATGCGCAGAACTGACTGAGGAATGGTGTCAATCGTTTGTGCTACGTTTGTGCTGTTTTGTGCTGTAAAAAAAATTGTTTGTGCTGTTATCGTTTTTGAGATATTGAGGATTCTTTTATAGGTCAATCTGAGGTCACCCAGCCCCTCATTTTGATAAAAAATGCTCCAAAATGGACGAAAATAGTGTCATTCGTTTGTGCTACGTTTGTGCTGGTTTGTGCTGTAAAAATTTACATTTGTGCTGTTATCGTTTTTAAGATATTAATAATTGCATTATTAGACGATTACATCATCATACTCTTTCGAAAATGCGCAGAACTGACTGAGAATGGTGTCTATCCTTTTGGCTTCGTTTATGCTGTGCATATATTTGGTTTATACAGTTATGTTAAACATTTTAAGAATTTGGGTATCTCTTTTCTATTTTTTTTATTTGGGTATTGCACACACCTGACAGTGACGTCATATCCGGACACTTTATTGCTGCGTGATTAATCATGGCTAGAACCTCTCGACCACAGTCTATGCTCTCGACGCTCCTCAAACTTTTGGCAAGTAAATCTTCTTTTAATCCCCTTATTGGTGTAGTGTACAAGTCACTTGTATTGCGATTCACACATGTTTCACGTGCTGAATGTGTGTTAAGGAGCTTAATTAGCTACGCCAATTAACACACGCTAAATTCTTGCATATGAGTAGACTTGCAGGTTTCGGTTTGCACATACTGTATACTTAGTGTTTTGTCATTTGGTTAAATCATTTTACTACATGATTATTATTATTTATTTTTTTGTGCAGGATGCCAGCTTGGAACAGCCAGTGTGGAGTGAAGAGTCACTGTTTTTTTGTAGTGTGTACAGTAGTACTAATACCTCTGAAAGTCAATTTCATGTAGCTTTAATTTAAGTACATGTATGAGGCCTTCTTTACTGCTTGATTAGCATGGTAGTGTTGTAGTAGTGAAGCTTATAAGCATACACATTTTGTTTTGTTTTCTTAAATTAACTTAATTTAATGGCAATGAAAGAATGAACTAAAAGCAGTCACTGTCAAAGAACAATATTGTGGTATATCTTCACATACAAAAGAATAGAAACATGGACATAGAATTGAAACATATGCCAACCTAATTGCAAACAAACTTAAAGTGCCAAAGGACAACTCGCACAAAAGCATAAAAACAAGGTTACTGATCATGTGTGTAAAGCACTGCATGTGGACACACATGTCTATTTTCTGCCACAGTTTTCACGTCGCTCCTCAGGTCATCAAACATCTCCCAGACTCTTGGGGACCTTCTGCAGTAGCAGACGTAGTGACCCATGGCATTCGTTGACTCTCCACCTCTGAATGCTATGACTGCCCTTAGTGTGAAGATCTTATCCTGAAGGAACATGCTGGATGGAAATTCAGACAAGGAAGACTCTCTCTTTCGTTGGTGAGTTTGTGAAGTACTCATAAGGTCAGTATCAACCCATAAAATTTCTCCTAGACTGCAGCTGTGTGTGACCATCCCTTCACATAGGGCAGATGACTCCTCTTCGGTGCCTCCAGGGTGACCCTGTAGTGGCAAATGGACTGACCTGAGACAGGGAGATATGGGCAGGTGAAGTCCTTGCTGCACTGCAATCTCAAGTTGAGCCATACCAGAAGTCTCCAGTACATCGAAGGATGGATAGACAATTGGTACTTCCCTTGAGGTTTGCACACTGAGCACGCAGTGCTGGGAGGAACATTTCTTATGAAAGTACACGCTTGTGATATTCCTCATTGTTTTCTGTACTACACTGGAAATGTGACACTGAGCATCAATCTGGAGTGCACCTGACAGCAACTTGACATCTGGAAATAATGTGGTCAGCAACTGAGCTCTCTGGATATATGCATTCCTGCCAATACCATCTGTCGCAATGGATTTGGCCAGCTTGAATGACTGGTTTGAGGGTTCGGTGTTGACCGCATACTGGAAGGACATGCTGTCACAGTATGCACAGCTCAGACTTTGCAAAAATGCATCCACTGCACAAGTATTTAACACAGATACTGTTTTGTTTCCCAGCTTGAGTGGTTGATGATGGTTACCATTTTTCAGCAGCCCAATTTTAACCATTTTCTTCGTAGATTGATTGGCATTCATCCATTCAGGACATGGGGCCAAATAAGAGTGGCACTTGCGTTTTTTTGGTGGAACTCCTTGGCCCCTCCAATTTTCCAGAGCCTCATCAGCAAGGATGCCAGCAGTTGAGTCAGAGTCTGCAGAAGGTAAACGTTCATTAGGTGTGAAGATCTACCTAAAAAAGTGTACTTGTCATAACTTAATAATACTTATAATAATAATACTATCTTCTAGATACTCTTGAGTTTTGATTTTGGGTATCTACATTCTTCTGTTATTGAAATGATAACATAGTTTTATATTGAATTTTCCAGACACTCAAAACCCATATACAAATGGTAGCACAGCTACCCTGGGATATACAGGGATATAGCCCTATGTTCCTTTGTTTATTATTTGTTACCTTGTAAATGTTAAATGTAATGTTATTATTTTTATGTCGGGGTGGGCACTTATAAGCCTTTGGTTTCAGCCCACTCCCTTTGAGCAGGTTAACTGCTCAACCAAATAAATTAACTAAACTAAACTGATGGAATCCATGACAGCAAACGGTGCTATTTTTCTGGGTTTTGTCACTTGAAGTAATGAGTTGCTCAAGAATATTTGCTTTAACATATAGCTCAAAAAAGGTGGTTGTGATAAAACCACCCCTGATTTATTATTATAGTATACTGTATGTAACTGAGTGTTTTTATTACCAACCTTTTGACTTTTTTTTCCTCCCAGTGCCTTCGACATCGGCAGTTGTTGACGCTGTTTTAGTGGTTTCCTCCTCTGCAGTGTTTTTTGACGCGCAAATCCTCATTTTACCTTCAATGAAGGTAAGGTGACGAGCAACGAAGCGGTCCACTCGAAGAGGCAACTTTTCATGCTTGAAAAGCCCATGTTTTATATTCTTGAACTCCACTTCAACTGAGGCAGAACTGGCTGTGATGCCTGAACCAGGGAAGTAAGGAGTCAGTACTGCGCTCCAGAGAGGTAAACTACTTGCTAGTCGTTTTATGTGGGGAATAATATCAGGGAGGAAGTGAATGTTATCACGATCACCTTTGCTTGTTGCGAAGGATTGGCTCTCTTCATAGATATCTTCTACCCACTGCTTCAAGTCTGTGTCAAGATCACTTGGATGCTCAAGATCAGGATGAGGACTACTTTCTTCATGTGGCATCTCAATGGTCTCTTCTGATATTTGGGCCTTTAGGTATGTTTTGAAGCCCTCTGAGGTGACTGGAAGTCCTTTATCATGGCCCTCTCCTTCACTGAGTGCCACCACCATGATGGCACGTAAGAGGCCTCTTGCATGCTCCAAAGATTGTGATTTTATTACCTTTGCAAGAGATCTTACAAAGAAATCCTTGACACGGTGGGCCTTCTTTCTGAGACACTCCCACTGGCAGATAAGCTTGATGCAGTGTGCCACATCCACTCGGATGTAACAATGAGGGAGTTTCGCTGCCGGGTTGCCAATCATGACATTGAAACATTCATTGAGGTATGTTTTCAAATCCGGGTGTGGTGTGAAAGACCTCACTAATGCACCAAGAATGGCCAGGGAAAAATCACATACCACCTCTTTTGGCACAGGTGCTCCAGCACGAATCCATTCTGTCAGCCAGTGTGAGATGGCATTCACATCATGGCGCTCTGACAACATTTGCACTACTGGGGCACTGCAGTTCATCTGGTCTCTCAATACTCCCTGATAGAGAAAAATATGACCAGATGTACTATTTGGACGTGCAAGTTTTCTCACTACAGATCCAGTTGCATCAACACAGATTGTTGAGTGACACCTCTGTGACAAGGTTTTGCAAATGTGTATTTGTGTTTGGCTCCAGTAATGGCAAAAAAACTTATCTAGACCAATGTCTTTAATGCTGCCACAGTGTGGAGAACTGTGTTTTAAGAGTTGTAATGACAATAGAGGGTCTTTATGCGGCAACTCTTGTGAATTCCTCTCTTGTTTTGCTTTTCGTAGGGTCGCCAATTTGGGCAAATGGCTGGGCTCAGGGTCTCCAAAATCCATTAGCTTTGTTGCTTGCTGTGCCCTCCACACATGAGGTTCGGACTTTCCTTCACAAAGTGCGCTAGCAACATCCTTGCGCGCTGCTCCAGACAGAGGACGCTTTGCACACCCTGTGTAGAGCGAGGAAAGGATGTTTTTAAGGAGACACTGGAAGACCATTGGGCTTTGAACTGGTGGCTCTTTCAGACATTGGGCCTTGAGCTTACCTCCACATTCCTTGCAGTAGCCTTGAATGTCTATGTATTTACTTTTTGACATGGGATAAACCTTTGCCCTTTTAAATACAAAGGTACAGGTATGTTTCACCTCTTTCCATAATATTTCATTCATGACATGAGTCCAAGTGCCTGGTTTTAATATGTTGTATTTTCTGTTGGCATAGTTGACGCTCTCCGGCATGAACTCTACCCATTTCTCAAATGGCACCAACAGCTGAAAAGTCTGCTCTGATTGAAGTATGCCATCACTGTCACTATGCTGATCGGCTGGTGGCTCATCTTCACTATTTTCAGATGCACTGGTGTCACTCAGACCCAAAATGGTCCAGATGTTGTGCCTGTTTTGTTTTACAAAGGTATACAGTGCCTTGGCAGACATTCTCTCATCAAGTTGATGGCTGAGTTCTGTCCAGATTTGTTCAGCAGGTTTAGCAATTTCCCCATTTATTAATATAGCCTCTTTTGATGTTGAGAGGATAGCAAATAACAGCATGTGTGGCCACTCCTGGATTTTTTGGCATCTAGTAAAAAAAAAAAAAAAATTAAATCACCTTATGTAAACTGGAGTAATGTTGTTTTTTATGCCATTTTATTGAAAGGTTCATCTTAATATGTTTCACACAATACACAGCTGAACTCTTCCAAAACCTGTTTCAAAAAATTGTAATATTGCTCTGTGTGCATCTGACCTGCTCTAAAACTTTAAATATTCTCTTATGAATTGTCTTATGTATAAAGTGTTTACTTTTTCAGTTTATTTCTGTGGATTTTGTCATTACTATAATTGAAGCAATGTATACAGTTATATGAAATGCATTCATTTTATTTTTGGACTTTAAAATGTTTTAATGAATTCTGTACAGTATTTCACATAGAATGGCTGGGTGACCTCAGATTGACCTATAAAAGAATCCTCAATATCTCAAAAACGATAACAGCACAAACAATTTTTTTTACAGCACAAAACAGCACAAACGTAGCACAAACGATTGACATATTTTTTATAAAATTTTGAGTATGATGGGGGGCCAGGTTCACGTTAATCTTCCCACTCCCCTCCGCGCAGCGGTCCGCTCGCACAAGTTTAAATCCCTCCAGCGCGACCACAGAGTCCGGTATATTCCCACACAGCCACGTCTCAGAGAAACACATAAGTCCACATTGTCTGTACTCTTTATGATGGCGGACCAGTGCGGTCAGCTCCTCAGTCTTATTAGACATGGACCGTACGTTCCCCATGATGATGGAGGGGAGATACGGTCTCCTCTTTCTCTTTCGGCCTCCTCTGGAGCCCCTGCGTCTCCTACGGATCTCCAAGGGGATCACCGGCTTCTCTGAGTGCCGGAAAGCGGAGTCTCTAAGTCCGAGAAGCTGCTCCCGTGTGTAAACAATGGGACATGCTGGTCTCGTGGCTCTGTGAGCGGAGAGCTCCGAAAAAAGTGCCGAAGTCATGTTAATCCAGTGCGAAGGTCCACGAGGCTAGGCTTCCCGTGTGCACAGTGCACAAATAAACGCTTGTCTACGAAAATAAAAAATAAAAAAACACATCTACAAGAAATAAATAGAGAAAGGGTCGGAAAGAGAAGAGAGCCAAAGTGACGAGCTGCACAGCGGGAGCTGGCGCCGGAAGTCAACTCAGTGAGTTCAGTGAGTTTTTTTTTAGCAGGTGAGGCCACTTTTAAAGAGGCCCAGTCCTGCAGTACCCGGGCCTCCCAAGCCTCGACGATTCAAGATGGCGCCCTATTCAAATGAATGGTTGTGCTCAGTGGCGCTTTGTGACTAGCCTGGCTCTGCCAGACCCTTGTAGTTCCGCCATGCTCCACCAGAGGCGTTTACCTGAACCACATTAGAGCCCTGCACTTGAGCCCTTAGCCCGAGGGCCCCGACGGCCCGACAGCCCGAGGGCCGGGCTTCGGGCCGATGACCGCATAATGACCTCGGACACGGGCCGGGCTCGGGCTCTTCATTTTCAGAGCGGCAGAATACATTTACGAACGCACCCACTGAATATAGCGTTCTATCACGCTGTAGTGTTTGTTGTTCTGTGTAGTGTTGTCATTGACGGCACATAGCATTACTTACAGATGTGTTGCAGCATCGGGGGCATCATACAGATGCGGCCGTTCACTCTGCACCACTCCGCACACACAGAACTCATTGCAACACATCACTACCATGTATAACTCCGCCCTCTAGCTAAGTCTGCGTTCATATCAGTGCGCGGCACTATATACTACGCTAAAACATTGTTATGGGAGGTTACAAAAAAAAAAAAAAAGGCGGGCTTGATGCGGGTTTTGGGCCTGAAAATTCAGAAACCATATCGGGCCGGGCCGGGCTGGGGCGCCACCCCCTCGGGCCAGGGCCGGGCTCGGGCCCAGATAATAGGCCCGTGCAGGGCTCTAAACTACATGGGTCTGGTATCGACGCCATAGCGAACGCCTTCCCCAGATTATTTTTTAATCGACCAATCAGGATTACCGGTGTTACGTGGGGTTTGCACTGCCTTCTCAAGCTTCTCTCATGCAGCAGCAAGAGGAATCCAAGATGGCGGACGTAAAGTCCGCGAATCTTTTTAAAAGAGTAAATACGATCGAAGACACGGAGGTCATTTTTAATGCAATTTGAGGCGAGATGTTGATGGTTCTATGTTGATCTCATGTGTGTTTTAAGAGTCAAATGTTCCTGTAAAGTTTGGTTGAAGCACTGGTTCAGTGTTCCTGTTTACACACTATGCAGCAGGGTTGCCAGGTTTGGTGGTTCCCGCATATTTTTTTCCAAGAAACTTGTAGGTATTAAATAAACAGAAAGACAATAAACAGAATCATGATAGCCCAAAAAACCACTCCGAATTATTTTTTGGCTAAAAACGTAATGTAATCAACTTGGGCTATCATCACCACCAACATGGGCGGAGACAGTATCTCGGGATTCAGAATTTCCAGTCTCAAAATCAAACCATGTGTTTGATCATTTAAATGAGCCAGCATGTTATAGCACACCCCGTCTTCCCCTGAAGTTGTTTGTTTTGCCTTAGTAAGGGCTCTTTTCAATTCAAACAGATTGAACGGGAGGTCAATCTCATCCTGTGTTGGGGTTAAATCAAATCTGCGTATCGTCCCAGAGTGTGGTCTACATTTCCTTGCTGCAGGTTGGAGCAGTGAGCGGATACAAATGTCTTATGGTGCTTTCACACCTGTTGGTCCAGGAAAGTGCTTTGATTGGGCCCAAAAGTTGTTACAATGTTGCAGTTCAGTTCTTATTCACAACAGTGTTTTTGCAAATGAACCCACCACTGTGGATGTTTTATATTCTGCCATTGTGGCACTGTTCACAAAAATATCCCAGAAGAATCAAACATTGTTGATTCCTTAACAATAAACTGTGCTCTTCTGCTTAGGTTTGTGGCTATATATTATCATCATTGCTTTGTGGAGCACAAATACTGCTGTTGTTTGATTATGTATTGCGGATTCGGCACGAGAAAAAGAAAGAAAAGACCCAAACTGCTAAACCGCGCAACTTGCAACGGAAGCTTTGGTAGGCCAAAAAGTCTGCTTTGCAACAGAGCAGACTGATGCGTTCTCACCAACAGCAACACCAATTTTTAAATAAGAGATAATGGTCACTTCCAAATGACAAATTATTAAAGACTACCCAAGTGCTAACACCGGCAACTGCACTTGATGCAAGCATGAGATCAATTGCACTTTTTGTATTGTTTGTGATGTTAGACCGAGAACCCCTTCCATAATTTAGACAAACCAGTCTCTAATTATCAATAGTCTTCCAACAACTGCCCATTTTTATCCATTCTTCTAAGTAAGTAAGTAAGTAAGTAATGTTTATTTATGTACCGTCTTTCACCGACCAGAGTCACAAAGCTGTTTACAATTGTGGGCATTTGTCCTCTCACCCCACACAGAGATGGGAGCTGGGTCTACAACCCCATAAAGTGCTATGTGCATTAAAATCACCACACCAAATCTTTCCTTGAATACTCTTGTCTGTGACACGGTAGCTGAGTGGATAGCGCTCTCGCATCTCAGCAAAAAGGTCCTGGGTTCGAATCCAAGTCAGTACAGTGGGGTTTACATGTTCTCCCTGTGTCTGTGTCAGTTTCCATTGTGTGCTCTGGTGTAACCTTTCACTAAAAATCATTCATGCCTTTGTTTCCACGCGTCTTGATTACTGCAATTCATTGTTTACTTGTCTTAATAAGAGAGCTCTTAACAGAATTCAATTTGTGCAAAACTCTGCTGCAGACTTTTAACAGGAAACCCCCGGTGGTCTCACATCACCCCGGTCCTGTCCTCACTTCATTGGCTCCCAATTAAACTACGTATTGACTTCAAAATTTTAGTATTAACTTTCAGAGCCTTAAATGGTCAGGCTCCTTGTTACATCTCAGACCTCTTGACCCTATAGAGTTCCGGGAGATGACGTTGTTACGGGACAGTAAACAGAGGGAACCGCCATTTTGGCAGCATTCGGCAGACTTGTGGTGAAGGAGGCTAAATATGGTCGATAACTGTTGTGCACCAGGTTGCACAAATAAACGAGGGAAAAAGAAAGGTACGTCGTTTTACCGCATTCCTAAAGATGCGGAGAGGCGAGCTAAGTGGATCAGCGCCATTAAAAGAGCCAGGAGCACGCAAAACAAGACTGAAAGATGGGACCCGCCAGCCGTTGGATTCCGCTTGTGCAGCGATCACTTCATATCAGGTCAGTTACCGAATACAAAACTTACTACCATAACTATCTTAATTATTTAATGGCTCTAATTGTGGTTTCTGATCAGTTTAATACTACATGGCTAGTCGAATTATAGCATGCAATTTGTGGGGCTAACAATGTCATGTTTTGTAAGCTAGTAAGTGCTAACATAGTAAACACAACCCAGTTCGATACTGAAATGTTTGCATTTATTTTGTAGGGAGAAAGAGTGATAATCCCTTGAGTCCGGACTTCGTTCCAACTATTTTCAACTACGTTCCATCTCCAGAGAAGAGGAAAAGAAAAATGAGACTGGAGGTTTTCAACAGACGACAGAAAGCAAAGCTACAGAAGATGGAGCAGACAAAGCTATCTGCGAAGGCCATCCCTCCCAGGTGCATATATTAAAGATAACCTGTTCAACCGCACTTTTTGTTAAAATTATAAATCAAAAAGTTTGCACACAATTCATTGTAGGTTTAATAACACCCAATGAGTTAAA